GAGGTAAAAAAAAAAAAACGGTAACCTGGTTGCCGAGTTCACGAAGTGAGTTGGCTTGTTTTACAACGTCGTTGCCAAGCGACGAAAACCCAACCCCGATAGCAAACACCGCGGGGGGCGTCGTTGCCAAGCAACGAAAACACAACCCCGATGACAAACACCGGGGGGGAGGTCGATCAGGGGGGGGGAAGATTATCCGCTGCTGCTGCCAACCTATTTGGAATCATCGAGACAGTCAACCATGAAGTATGCAACAAATGAGGGGGTTCTTTACACGGAGGCAGGCATTCCGAAGACACCGCAACAGAGATCTTGATCCTGAAACTCTTGCTGATGCACCGATAACATGGCCGATACGGTTATAGTATGCTCGATCGAAGAACCAGAGGTCCTCCACATCACGCCCATACAACAGTGGCAAATGCACAACTACATACTTCATGTTCGACACACATGGGAATGGTTGATCCTTCTCCACGTAACATTTCAAGGAGAGCACTGCAGAACGGCGAGGGCAATAGACCCTGGTTGGTGCGTCCACACACATCCAAAAAGTGTAGTCAAACGTCCAGCATAACCATAACAGGTTGACGCTTCCACCTGTCCACAAACCAGCTGACAACAACATACATTTCACACGACGAAAACGAAATCCGCCAGACACATGCGATCTTATGTCTCGCTCTCTATATATATCTATTTCTCTATATTTTTTTCTCCCTTTCCTCCTCCCCTCTCTTTTTCTCTCTCTCGTTCTCTCCCCCTCCCCCTTCCCTCTCTTTTCCCCCCCCTCTTCTCTATTGTAATGTAAGGATCATGTCATGTTTTGAGATCGAATCCTTAACTCAAACCACGACAGATATCAAAGGATGGTGGTNCTCCCCCCCCCTCTTCTCTATTGTAATGTAAGGATCGTGTCATGTTTTGAGATCGAATCCTTAACTCAAACCACGACAGATATCAAAGGATGGTGGTTAGATGAAAGAACAAAACGTGCTAGATGCAAGATACAACGAGGCGTTTCTCAGGGAAAGATGAACCGACCCAATAGAATAGGGGTCGTATCGAGCCAGGAGGAGATCGAGACCTCTCGCTCTCTCCTCTTCGATTCCCCTACCCGAAGCGACCGGCGAAAATACACTAGCTCACCACTGCTGGGGTACCGCTTGGTTGCACGTGTACCACCAGCTGGAACGTCAGTTATCATCACGAAAAAACAAATACTACAATGAATAGCAAAAGCAGCTGCTTAAGTACCCCGTGCACAGGTTCGGGTCCCAAGCACCCGCCGACTAATTGAGTGGTAGGCTAATGTGTCGTTGCTTCTGCTCAGGTGCCGGGCAAATCCGTCGGAGATGCAGCGCCCCGTTCAAACCTCCATGGTGCACCGCGTACGCGGGTCCAACAAAGCACCCACTGCGCGGCGGCGTATCGAAAAACACGTTCAACGTCCACCTACCAGCTCGTAGACGTATCACCAACCAAGAACAAAGGGCCGTGGGTTCAGAGGCAGTACTCTCCGGTCAAAGGTATACCCCCCACTCCCGATCTCGTTAGCTGTAGGGAATCGTTCCAGTCTCGAAAGAGACGCTAACTTCGGTGAAAAAAACGGCGTTCCACATAGAATTGCCAACGATTGATCATGACCGTCATACCCGTTTCCCTCCCACTTCCGACACTCCCTAGTTGATCCGCGGAAACAGTTGGCGACGCCTCGCCCCGGCATGGGAAGCCATGGCCTCGCGTCTCTTCAACAGCACACTTCTAGCGTGCCCCTGTTTCCTGCATACTCCAGACGTGAAAATTTTCGGAACAACGCCCATCATGCTCTTAGGGAAATCTCCGGCGAGGAAGCACACCCGGCGGCGCCGTATCTACCGATCTGGGGGCTTCGACCAGCGTCTCGTGCGGAATTGATGCCGGTGCCCTCGCCGACGACATGGGACGATGGTGTGAGCTTTTCCGAGATTCCATCTCCACTGGCGAACTTCTCGAAGTACATTTTCAAGGCGGTGAGATAGATGAGGCTGGAATTGGGCAGGGGATGGGAAAAGGGAAGAGTGCACGAATCGGGTCTGGTTAAGGAGGTGTTGAGAGAAGGCAAGCGCGCCATCAGTCCTCTTCGGCTACCTCAACACTCATTTTGATCGCCGCACGTTTTCTCGGAGCTCTTCCGGTTCCGTGCGGCGCGAACTACTGCAGCCGTTTCTGTGCTCGTTACAAAAGGTCAATAACACACGGAACCTCCCGCATTCCGGTCACCTTGCGCTCGAAAACATTCAGAAGGCGCCCGGGTTGGTTGAACGAGTGCGGCTGTCAAAAGCCACTCAAGCGAGATAAGAACGGTGAATCGCGTAAAGACAGCAACAACAACAACAACAACAATAGCAGCAGGATACGCAGTATTTCGAGTTGTGCCGCCGGAATCAGACCCTGGGGGGCGGAAATAACCGTGGATTCTGGAGCTTGTCGGTGAGGAGGGTAGCACAAACCTAGGATGCAAACTGCGGGAAACTAATAATTATCATTACGCCAGTGCCATAAAGTAGTATAGCACTGTTGAGTTAGTTCGAGTGCCGGCGGCCAGCGGAGCAGCACGGCTACACCAAGTGAAGCTGCACCTTGAACGAACGCTCGTAAGTCAAAGATAAATCTGACCCAACCCCCCTCCAAAGATGGACTCACCACGAACATTCAACCGCGACAGGAAAAAAAACTGCCCAAAGTCCGAAGTGCACGTAGTAAATCATCAACGTCGCCAGTCCCGTGACGTAGATAGCCTGCTTGGGTGCGAGGATGGCGCGAGTCCCGGTTAGATTAGTACCAAACCAACGCTGCTAGCTTGTGCAATAAAACAGCAGTTCATCGGATATCTTCCGTTGCGTGGTCATCGGGCACAAAGCCCACGCCAAGTTTCTATTCCCAACCCAAGATCTAGGATCCGGGCCCGCACAAATTGGGCCCTTTGCCGCGGAACAAGATAGTGGAACTTCGCATATCTCGACCACCCAGCGGCGCTTGGTGTTGCATCGAACGACACGTCTTTGGAAAGTTCTCGCTATCGCCACTGTCTTCCCAGGACCGCCCTGTTTGACACGGCAACTTGCCGTTTATTCATCGCGCCTGGCGAAGCAACACGCATTTGGTTACATTGGAATTGTCCGTAGTTATTGTTGTTGTTGTTGTTGATGTTGTTGTTGTTGTTGTTGTTGTCTGCTGTGTTGAATTGATTATGTTGACACCAACACGGCTAAATGTATCAATCTCCTCTTCACATATCGATCGCGCCCGCACTTAAGGACCGTTTTTTTGGCCGAGGCTCGATGCTTATTGGCTGCCTTAAATCCAGTACCTGTTCTTGTTTTCAGGATTTTTGTTTCGAGCAGGCATATCCGTATGATAAACGGGGTTCTTGTTCTTTTACGCCGAAGGGCTCCATTCAGAGGACACTGTCTTTTATTTTCTGGCTGGGTTCAACATGACACTTGAGAGCAGCGTGCTCCCAGAACAGAGAAAAATAGAACGTCGCTCAACAGGGACTTCTGGACCCGAAGTACCGCAGCTTCCGCGATCACCATAGTGTAGAAATACAGACGAGGCGTCGCCTGAAATATTGATGCATCTGAGCAAACACTGAACCCTTAAGAGGTCCACAAGGGTCACGTTCGGCGTGATCGTCCTCCCAGCTCTACTAACGCCCGTCGTATTTACAATGCGACCTTCACCCTGCTCTTCGATGGCCAGACCCCCTCCCTGCTCTGCGGCGTGCTCCCCTCAAGCAAAGCCCACGGCCCTACAGCCGCACCTGCATCTCCACTGTACTTGTCGAACGGCAACTTCATGCGGCGCGTGCTTCGGTCTACCTCGAAATACACACGGTGGTCGTAAGGGGGGCGCGTAGGTTCCTGAGAATGCCGAGTGGTCAGCTCACCGAACCAACCCATGGCCCAGTTTAACGAGTACTCCACGCTGCAGCAACGAACTGTCAAGAGCAACGAGTTTAGACTGTTGAATTCGAAAACCGGTGGGTGAGAAAAAGGAAGAGGTGTCGGTAAGCATTCGTCGCCCCTGCGTCGACTCGATGGCCTCCCAATCCGATTTCGTGGGCAGTTGCCAGCATTGGCATGTTCGTTGATGGCCTCGAAGAAAGTGTCGATCAAGAGTGACACCTCTTCCGTACAATTCACCTGTTGGCCGGGCTCCTTCAATAATCAAAGGTCAAGACATGGCTCTCGTGCAAGCCACGCAGCGTGGCAGGCACCCCAATGTCAAGCGACAGGGGTATCCTTGTACAAAAAAGTTAAACGCCTACCCCAGCCCCCCCCTTCCCCCTCCGCACCGACCGAGGTAAAATGTGAACGAACGCGGCTCCAAGTACGAAGACCGGGTCCGTGTAGTTGGGAGATGTCTGGTGAACAAGAAGGAAAGGAGATGGTACAGGACTGAGCTTGGAGAAGTGTAAGGAAGGTACAGGGAGATGTTTGAGGCACGGAATGGCCAGGAGAAGACGGTACTGGGGCATAGAACGTGGGTTCAAGAAGCGGGCAGTGACATCCATAGGATAGGCTAAGGGAAACATTTTTGAGCCACCTTCCTTGGCAAAGTAGGAAGGTCCGAATGGCCATCGGTCTTCGGTCCTGTGGGAACAATGCTCCCCCCTCTCGAGGACGCTTGGTCAATGGTCTAGCCGTGAGATATGCAAAAATTAAGAGTACGCGCCCCTTCCCCCCCCCTCCGCACCAGTATTATTTGAAACGGAATTCCACTCCTCGCCGCTAATCTGAAACTGCCAGTGAGTGGGGTCACTGGACACCCCGTAAGTCACCCCTTACCACCTTCATGAGTTCTTACCTTGCAGCTGCGACCTGTTCTTATTTGCATGCGCGGTGTTACACTACAAATACGGGTCCCACGTCGGAACTGAGCACGCGTTCTTAAGGCTAATTTTTTAAAGTTTGACTTTTCCAGGCTGCATTTGTTAACAACATAGTTCTTCAGTGCGAGCGCCATCTTTACGCTCAAGGAAAAGAACGAGCTTCCGTGTGCACAAGCTCGCCGACAACGAGGAAAAGCGACAAGACACAAAAGAGCCAATGGAGGACCGCTATCTCCGCACCGGTATTGCCTAGAAGTAGACGAAACAAAGCACTTTGTGTCCCGTCGGAAGTGAGGGGTACTCCACGAACCGACAAGGGAAGGGAACGGCCTACTGCGCGAAGTGCTTCGAAAATTACCAACAAGCGCAAAACAAACACGTCATGATGCGGAAATTGTGCACGGTCCACTGGCGATCTTCATCGTGACCGTCATGTCGGAGTGCAACCCGTTTACCTTCGGGCACACAGTGGTTCAGTGCACGCCAACATGTGTAGCTCCTGTCCACCGTGAACTGATTTTCTTGTTTTGTGTGCGATTTTAAGTAGGGCTAGGGTGATGGGATAGGGTTTTACCCGGGATGCAAAAGTGATAAAATATGTAGTCCATGCATACATGTAGTTGTGTCTTGCTGCGTGTCTTTTGCTGTATCAACGATTGCCTTCCAAAAATAATTTCAGCGGGGGGGTTTTCATGGGTTGTTAGGTGTGTGGGAAAGTCATAAGCAATGTCGGAAGTGCAGCGGTGGTGTTTGCCTTCCAATGAGCGGGGCTATTTTCCATTTCGAGGTTTATGCTTCCACAAAAGTACACTTGCTTTGTTGTTGAGTTGCCCCGATGCTCTACTGTACATTAGTCTACTGTACACAAGACACGATCCCGGGCAGTACATGAGTGAGTTTTTCTCGCAAATGAAATCCTGGTCTCGTTGAAAGCAACGCGCTGCAAGGTCGTTGTTAGTAAACTTAATCGACTTCATAAGTCGCGAGGGAAGGGATTGCTGTACCCTTGTCGCGATAAAAATATTTCAGGCAGGAACGGCAGAAGGGGGTCCAACCCCCCCCTCCCATGTGGCCCCGGTTGGGTCGTCTAGCTGGTGTGTGTGTGTGTGTGTGTGTGTGTGTGTGTGTGTGTGTGTGTGTGTGTGTGTTTTTTTTCGTCCTATTTACTATGCCGACAGTCCCCCCATTTTTCGTGGTGAGACGTGTACCACACCTTTCAGCGTCTGTAGAGTACTACACTATTCAGTGTATTTTTTCGTACAACTACCACCATCCAGGGTCACAGCTGGTAGTAGTGGAGGATAGGGGCCAGAGGAGCAGACGACAGAGTCCAATGATGGGAGAGAAAAAAAAAAAAATGCCTTTGCTGCTGGGCGCGTGGAGTTGTCACAGCATAGTCACAGCCGTAGCCCGTTCCCTCGAACATACTGAATGCACCATCGCCATCTACACGTACATTGTAGAGGAAATAAGCCAAGGGTCTTTCAGGAAGTCTATCAACCGAAGTTGTCTCACAAACAACTTGTGCAACGGGTTCGTGCGAGAAAGACATCACCGAGCGCGTCGCCAACAGCTTGGAGAAATACGCAACAGCTGCAATATACCCGGCTGGGAGAACTCTCATGGTGGATGCTTTTCTCGTGGGTGCAGCCACGAGGTTGCCAAAACCCGCACATGCAATGGGCGTAGACTTGCTGTACACCAGACTACATACCAGGTACCCTTCTCGCGATAAAAATACCTCAGGCAGGAACCGCAGGAGGGGGTCCAGCCCCCCCCTCCTATTTGACCCCGGTTGGGTCGTCTAGCTAGTAGAAGTGGAGGATAGGGGCCAG